ACTTATCTGCACCACTGATCGCAGAGGCAACGAGCACTTTGGTCACTTGATTTCAAAAGTAACACATTTCAGATCGCCTCTTATTTAACAAACGAACGAAATGAATGCTCTACTACAGTTACCTGGAGATGTTTTATTTGTTTGTAATGGTAACGTTACATCCGTGCCGCGAGAAGTTTCAATGGGGACATAACACACCAGCAAATTATGCCTATGCTCGTGTCCGACTCCTCGCTCGGTCAGTCTGCCGTTTCCTCTTTCTCTGTTCCTCCGACAATGCTTTCCTAGCTTTCTGCATCTTATATGCCGGCTCAGCCATGACGATAGTGTGACAAACTCCATCCATCTATACCTTGTTCCTGTGTGTATGTGTGCAGTTGCCGTAAAGGAATATGTTACATCGCGAGAGCTGATATCACGCGATACTTCCTGACGCGGCCCGCCGCACCGAAGTTGCAAGTGAGATTTTTTCGCTCACAGGCACCAGGGGGGGTCGAGACGCCCACCATTCAACCCGAAAGAAGTTATATAACCATTTCAATAACTCTGAAGCTGTTCAGTTAAGCTAAAAAAGCTGCATAGTGTCCCTTTAACTCCTTTAACTAGCTTTAACAGCAACAGTTTTGCCCAGATCAGGCCCACATCTGATACGCATGGAATCCACATGTACCAGATGTGGCCCGGATTTGGGCCGACACTATGTTGCTGTCTGGGTTAAACACCAATAATTCCTTGGTCAACTTTTTCTGCAGAGTAAAAACCCTCCAACTGTGACCACATTTTAAAGGTGCAATAGGTGATCTGGGAAATGCTAACTTTAGCCTGCTAGCATTGAAAGCAAACGATCCCACCCTCCCTGCAAATCCATGCCTCCTCCAAAACACATGAACGCGCACAGACCAGAAGCAAGACGACCAGAGACAACGTTAATGGAATTATATCATATGCCATTCATCGGTGAGAAAACTCTACAGTACAGTGAGTAACAGTATTACAATAACGAACGTATACAACTGATTGCCTGCCATTCCCGCTCTGTCTGCACAGCGTACCTGAACGCGCTGATGACGTATGATGTCTGCGTGAACAGGCTGTGCAGTGGTATGCAAACACATGTTGACTGACAGGGAACACGTTATCATTTCATTCGGACCGAATGAAATGATTGATAGAACATTTTATGGTCCTACGCCTTCAACAGACGATATATTTATAAAAATACATTTAGACCGCTTAACGTAGTGATTGCTACCAGCATAACAAAACAAATTTCTGAATCACCTATTGCACCTTTAATCTCTATTTGGAGATTCGAAGACTCTTATTAGCCATTTAAAAGGCCTTGTATTCCTGCTTCATTTTCAGCTTATCCGCTTATGAGCCATGGAATAATAAAAAAAGACTATTTTACAACTCATTGAGATGACATGCCTCATATAGGCAAGACACTATAGATAAATACTACAGACACTGTTTTAATTATTCTTATTTCTTTTGATTATTTTAATCAAAAGAAATAAGAATAATTAAAACAGTGTCCATAGTATTTATCTGTAAAGCACTTTGAATTACCATTGTGTATAAAATGGGCTATATAAATAAGCTTGCCTTGCCTTGCCTAATACACTACTTTTTAGTTAACTCAATTGGAAGGGACTATTCGCATACTATGCCTTTATTACTCAGAAAACCCAAGTTAATATTAATTGAGTTAATTTATTAAATAGTTTGAGTATAATTTTGTCATGCAAAAAAAAAATGTTTTGGAGGTGGGGCAATTCTTATTGGGTGGGATTTTTCATTTCCTCCACTTCTGCAGTATCTTTTTCCAGTTGCATTCACTCATTTTACAAAGTCCTCTTGAAAGTTTAATGGTCAATACTTGTGAAAATTTTGAAAGAACATCAGATAAGTTGACTTCATTTTTGATATTGATTTCCTAAACTGGTTTTGTTTGAACTCATCATTATGATGATAATTGTTCCTTTTGGTTGGGCACTTGGAACTTCATCATTTATATTACTATTATTCCCTTCCAATTTATGCAGTGATCAGACTTTTGATTGGGTTGATGTAGTTGTGACCATATCTTGCAATTGACCATGCTTGAGTTACGCACAGACATCAGTATTCATGCAAAACACAGCAATGATAACAATTACATGTCATTTATTAGTTACTACTTGTAACAATAACAATTTTATTTGCTGTCTTTGTTGTGCTACTTCTGACACAAGACAGCAAATAAAAATAGCAAATAAACCCAAAAATGGTCAAACAAAGCAATTGCTTAATTAATTCATACCGCAATGCACTCTGGGAAAGCAATTGCTTAATTTATTCATGCCGCAATGCACTCTGGGAGTCAGTAATTCTATACTAATTCTATACTGTAGCTATACTAAGTCAAGAGTAAATCTAAAGTAAATTATCAAGTACTCTCAACTAACTAAGCATTTGTCAGTACAACAAACCATTCCTATTTCACTTTACTTTTGAAATACATCAGTTTTTGTATACAATCGGTTTGCATGTTTATTTTAACTAAGATTAACTAATTCCATTTCACAATGGGGTACAACTTTTAACTAGATATCGCCATACATTTATCACAGAACATTATAAGACAACTGTTTTGTATCTCTTTTAATCACTCCTTAATCTTCTGGTGTTGTTCGGTCATTTAAGACCGGAAATATATATATATTTTTTGCATTTTTAAAAATCGCTACTTCATTGGAATGGTACGAAGCTTTTGCAGCAATCGCTATATGACCACAGAAAAAATCATGGACTTGATTCATAAGGTCAGAAATGACCGCCATAGGAAATGAATAGGAAATAGACAAAAATAACAACAAGAATTTTTTGTGTACAATCTACAAATTGTACACACAGACACCCAAACCTTACTTTTCTTTTTCTGTAGTGTCTTGTGTAATTATTCCATTTAAATATTGGAAACATTCTTTATTTGTTTTTACTCATTTTAGACAATGTGACTATGACCATATTAATTGTGTGTATCCTTTTGTTTTATTTGTCATTAAATGGCCAGCAGCATGTTACATGTATACATTGATAAAGGATCATTTACCTTCACGCTTAGAAGATCTGAGAAGAATCTACTTTCTTTCTTTCTTTTGTAGGTGGTTGTTGGTGACCCATGTCTGTATAATGCACTAAAAACAATCTGTCATTCAGCTTTACCTAACTCACACATAACCATGCAACTATATTAATAACACTTTCGTGCAGCCCAAGCTGCAGACGAAGACATCAACAGTCAGATTATGTTTAATACCACCTACTGTACAGTTTAAGGATTATGTTTTATAAATGTACTTTTGTATGCTATAAACACACATGTTCTCAAATGTCTCTGCACATCTCATGAGCAATGGAGTCAGTCTCACGCTCTCCCTTGCCCTTCTGCCCTCTTATTTTAATGGGACTGAAAGTACATTACCCACATGATTAGATGTAAAATCTTTTTATCAGCTTGTGACAGTAATATTGGACGAGAGGATCAAATCCTGAAAAGCCGTAGTGGTTAATTAGTGGCATGGCCCATGAAATCATATAAATGTCAGGGATTGTGTGAGCGGACAGCTACCAGAAGAAAACTGCCATGTGAGTGCCAATCATACATGATATAGAAATGAGAGTCTGTATCTGATTTGGTAGATTTACAAGACTCAAATTCAGAACGAAAAAGCAGGAAAACTTTAAGTAAACAAATGGATATAGAGTACAAAGCTCTCTTTCTGTATTTTTAAAGACTGCCTTAGTCATCAGCATATTTTCACTAAAGAACCTTTAAGATGATGATAGAGGATTTGAACCAGATGATGCAATTCAAATGCAACATTAAAAGTAGAGACTGTTGTACTTGTACAGTATATGTTTCTGCTTGTAAAGTTTTTTTTAGCGAATTGTAACTATGGAAAACTTTTATAGAAATCATAGTGTGTTGGCTCTGGAATCATTCATTTATCTTAGACATTTATATGAAACATTGTTGCTTAAAGCTAGCTAAATAGATTTAAAATTCAAAACAATCATACAGGATCTTTTTAAATGACCATGGTAACATTTACACCTGAAAACTTACAAAATGCATATATTGGAGGTCAATAACCGTCACGTTTAATTGTGAGTTTTGTTCATGTTCTTGTTAGTCAATGTCATGTTTCCTGGTTTGTCCTCATGTGATCCTGTCATGTGATTCTCTGCTCTGTTTGCTATTGGTTCATTGTTTGATTATTCACAGGTGTTTCTTGTTTGTCATTAGTCCTTGTGTATAAATAGCCCTAATGTTCCCATTGTCTGTCTAGCTTTGCTCCCTGTAAACCACTGTTGGTGAGGTTTTTTTTTTTTTTCATGTTCAAGTTTATGGTGTCAAGTCTTTATGTTGTATCTGTTCACTTTTGGATTCAATAAACTTTACATGGGTTCATTAAAACTCGCCTCCAGTGGACTATTCATTACAATAACATTTATCAGAACATATTTACTAAAGTCATGCAACCTGACAATTAAAAACAGAACGACCACTTCTTTATACTTTCACACTGTCTTTATGCATTTCAAACAGGGACACTGATATTAAACTCATAAATACATAAATGAGGTTTTGAGGCAGAAAGGAATAAAGAGTTCTATGGACTGTAGAGAGTTTGACCATTTACATCCAGAGTAACAAATGTTTGTTTTTTTAAATGACAGGAGTCAAAAGACTTGAGAAATACAACAACTGCCACATTGGGTCCATTGCTGGTCATACTAGCACATTTTAAAAACACTCATTAAGATTTGTGACACTTATTGTGTTTCCTATAACATTTATCTCCTTAAACCATCTTGAGTGTATATATTCAAGGCATTCTAGGATTGATAGAAAGGTTAACTGTTCAGAATAAAGGTAAGGTTTAGATTAGTTACAAAACAAAGTATCAATAATCAGCAAAGTACAAAGGAAGTGACTGATTAAACATGTATGGAGGGACTGACTGGAAATGAGTACTGCACATTATGACCTCTATTAACAGTAAAGGAGAATGAATTGTCTAATTTTCTATACATTCAACATCAATCAAAATAGCATATTTTTTAAGAATCAGTGACCTTATTCTCATCCTTTATTGCTCTCAAAGCATCTGAAGTTGCAGATCGTGTTGAGGTAGGACAGAGACACCTGCAGACCGATGAGGGGAATCCTGCTAGAATTTGCTTTGGCACATTAAATCTATTTATATATTACTTGTAGTTTTATATAAAAAATATATATATTTTTAGGTTTGGTTTTGTTGCCAGCGGAGCTGTAAATGCTGTACTGAAAAGTCAACTATACAGACTAATAGGTGCATCTGTATGCATCACAGATCACTGAAGGAAATGTTAAAAAGTTAAATAGATTGAAAAGTAGTCACTTTATGAAAAGGCACTGAGCAGAAAAACTGGAAGACCTGCTGTTATATAAGAGCTTTTTTTGTCTACACGATTCTCTTATCTGAAAAGGCACTATGTGACTCTTTATGACTGTTGTAATAATACATTCTTAGATGCAGCCAGATTTACCTCTGGCCATATCCATTCATGCCATTGTTCCCCAATGGAGTGATAGTGACGGAATCTAGAAAAGGACGGAGCGCTTGTCCAAAAGGTCTATGGAGAAGAAATCATGTAATTCAATCCAGTTATTACTAATACTAGTGTCATATTTGATTGCAAAGTTGTAAGGGCAAACTTACGTAGCGAGCACCTCAGATGGGAGGTCAGTGATGTATGAGGGAATCTTTGATCCTGTTAAAAACTGTGCAACCTCAGAACTGAAGGTGTTGCAGTTGTGTTCAAATAGGTGGTATTTTTCAGGGCTGTGGAAAGAAAAGGAGGAAGTACAGATTTGCGTGTGTAAAGGGTGTTATTTCTGTACCACTAGTGCAAACTGCAAACAGAAAAGCAACAAAAAAAAACACGTCTGCCATATTTTCTCTCAATATTAAACTAGAAAAATATTCTGATAAAAAAAATCACAATTTCAACAATACTACTTGCAGTTTCCTGTAGGGGTGTAACGATACCCTCATGTCACAATTCGATACATATCACAATACTGAACTCACGATACGATATTATTGCGATACTCCAAGACATAAGATAAAAGGTTAACAAAAAATGTACTGTTGATTAAAATGCTAAATTAGAGATTACATTGTGGGTGTAAATGAATAGGCTTGGACTTGGTGCTGATAACCCAATGCACAGGCCAATAGTGACACTAGAATAAAAATATTCATGATTCTGAAGCTGAAGATACAGAATTATTTTAGACGAATATGCTTTCACTTTGTCACTGACTATATATTTAAAATAATGTATAGGCCACTTTTTACTGGTAACATAAGACATTTGGCATTATCAGGACCCACAAATATTCCCCCATTGCATTATTATACATTATATTCAACATTATATATAGTAGTTTAATGTAGTACTGAGCCTAAAACTCTGAAAACTTGAATTTTTTCTCACACAGTAATTTTTATTTTGGGTGAACTATCCACGATGCATATTGTCACTATCCACAATACATATTATTGCAGTTTTGTATTGCGATATATTGTGACACGATATATAATGTTACACCCCTAGTTTCCTGTTAAATGCAAAAAAAATACTGACCTGTAAGTAGACTCCCTGAGAGAAGACAGATATTCCAGGAAGAGGTCCCGGGGAACTTCGGTGTCTCCAAGGTTCACTGTGGAATCGGGCACGCCTAGAATAGTACCACCCTGAAACATGAGAGTATTTCTTGATTATGATGGGTTACAATCATTAGGCCCTATTGTGTTTTTAATGTCTCCAAATATATAACGTAGCCTTCAACTTGCAGATTTCTTAAAGTTGGCATGAAACTGAATTTGTGATAGTCTTTTCTTCCCTATTGTGTGAAGTCAACAAGATTTCTCAAACAATAAAAAGGTAGGACTTAATTTTGTCCATTAGGAATTGATTAGATCGTTGGATCATTGTAGTTCGATATTACTAACTGCTGTGATCTCATGTGAGTGACAGGTTGTCCCGCCCCCAAGCTGACAAGAACACGTCATCAGAGAAAATGAAGAGATGACATTGCAAGAGGGAGAGGACGTTTTGATAAAAGATTACGAGGGCACATGAATTTAAAAAAATTAATAATGACCACAGACAAATCATTTATAATATTCCATAAAAAATACGAATTGTCCATTTTGATTTCATGGCGACTTTAAGAAATAAACTGTAGTCTAATGCATAAAGATCCAATGATCATTTCTTACCGGATAGCAGCTTGTGATGCCCCCTCCTCCATAGAAAAACTCTTCCCCATAAGCCACTATTGATGTGTGCCTTCATTAAGTTACCAAAGAACAATACATTCAAATAAAGACTGTTTATTTATTTATAAAATTAGAAGAAAAAAAATCAAAACCTAAGCATTTTCACTAGTGGTCTCAGACCTTTGGACCACAATGTATATCTAAATCTGCTCCCTGATAATAAGTAGCAAGGTTTGCAAAAAAAAAAAAAAAAAAAAAAAAGGTTAAGAAAAATACTCACCATATTCCTTCAACTTGCTTTCCTGTCAGTTTAGATATAGAAGAATTGTTGTCAGTATTTCTTTACATATTTTCTAAAGGTGGCATTAAATAAGGTATTTGCTCTACCATGTATAAAATATATGAAAAAATATTTGTCATAAACAAAAACAATCTCAACACAAAAACTCTCTATTCTAGAAGCATCACCAACATCCTCCGGCCATCTGAAGAACTCACCTAACATCATGGGACTCAGCTGACGGGCCAGTCCTTTTGACAGGTCATAAATGTACAAATTTACGTTGTAAGAACTTCCATCAGCCATCGCGACGACTTTAGACAAAGTGTGTTTACAAACAAAAACCCAATGCTACTGCTAGCAAACTGAAACTTAACTTAGCAGTAGTTTTTCTCACTCTGACTGAACTCGAAAAACACTGTTCACTGTTTTGCTGGCTCAAATTCCCATCATCGCATTAAACATTCACACAAGGAACGCATTCGTGTTGAGTTTAAATTATTTCAAGAAAATATTGAATAGGTCCGACGCAGCATTCAAAGGCAGCTTCGTCACAGAGTGACTCAAGATATTTTGATACCGGTTGTGACAAATTTGCTTGTTCATTGGAGACCCGACCAATGGCAGCAGAGATACACTAACTCACCAAACATCTGTAATAACCTCCAAAACGCTAGATGGCAAACTAAAACACGCACGACTGCTAATGCTCCTCACTGAATCAACTAGTCAGTTTCGCGAATCGGTTCGTTTGAACAGTTGTTTTCAATTAAACCGGTTCAAAATGCCGATAAAGCAATTTTCTACGTCATAAAATAAAATTACATCTCGTCGTGATAAACATGCTCTAAAACGTTTCAGTAAAACCATATATGGCACATTTGGCTGTTTATTGCCAATTTTCGATTACGTTTTATTAGGGTTTTTATTCTAAATCAGCTCCAGTTCCGTTTGTTGCAACTATACAAGTCGGACAAGTTCGAAAGGGAAGTCTGATTCGTGAACAAATTGTTCAGACCCCGGTTCAGACATTTTTTCAACAGACCATTTTTTCATTTTTGAGCTCCGACTAGAAAAGATCCGGGTGAAAAGAACGATTCGTTCACGGCCAGAAAATGTATGACCTCCTTAATCTTTTTTTAAATATTTAATATTTTTTTAAGATCCTTGCTTCAGAGTACCATTACAAATGGTAAACACGTATATAAACACTGTAAACAGTATTTGTTACACTGTTAAGCAGTTCTCAGAAGCGTTTGTTTACTTCCTCCTGCTTGGATTAACCAGTCACTTCGCTCTTGTCTTGTCATTGGTTCTTGCTATTCAATAGTCGTCTCTGATACGCTAGTGGACGTGTCACTCAAATTGTGGCGCACTCGATGCATGCGCGGGCGCAAATGGATACAAAGTTCTCTTGCTCAAAAGATAAAAGGGCCTGATTCAAGTGTAAGAAAAACTGCTTTGTTTTTTCCCTAACTGTATTTGAAAGCAACCCTGACGCGGTTCTTAGATAAAGCAAATGGCGGATTGGAGAGAGTACTATCAAAACGAAGACGATGATGTTGAGCAGGACGAAGAAGATTCTGGAGGTTAGCAAAGCTAACTGCATTTATTGAATCTATTTAAGTTGCTCGTTTTGTCCTCCATTAAACTTGCATTTATGAAATTAAGATGTGATTACACATAAATACTTTATAAATACTTTATAACTTTTTGATTAATAGGCGATTACAAAGTCAGTGGCCGTGACAGCCTGGTGTTTTTGATCGATGCGTCCAAAGAGATGTTCATCAAGGGTGAGGATGGAGAGCCATCAAATTTTGACATGACTATGCAAGTGAGTCTAACTGTAACAAGCTTCATTTATTCAGTATCTTTTATTTTCATTAAATTAGCCTGTGTTTCATTTCTGGGCATTTCTAATTGACGTGATTCTCCCTTGTATCTAGTGTGTGCGCAGTGTGTACACTAGTAAGATCATAAGCAGTGACAAAGATCTGGTCGCTTTGGTGTTCTATGGGACTGAGCAGAGCAAGAACCCCAGAAACTCCTTCAAGCATGTCTACGTTTACCACGACTTGGATTCTCCTGGTGGGTTACTCACTCTTTTTGCTTTTCAGATTGCGTATTATATGATGGTCATTCTATCTCACGATTCCCTTCTCAGGAGCTCAGCGTGTACAAGATATTGATAAACTGGAGGGTGAGAAAGGAGCTCAGTTGGCTGGAAAGATCATAGGCAGTGGGGAAACTTCCCTCGGAGAGGCTCTATGGTGCTGCTCCAACCTTTATAGTGACATCAAGTTGCGACTGTCGCACAAGCGCCTCATGATATTCACTTGCAGGGATGACCCTCATGGAGGAGACGGTGCTAAAGACAGACAGGCTCGTACAAAAGCTGCTGACCTTAAAGAGACAGGTAGGCCGAATAAAACGGGAAAATGACACGGTTTCGGTGGGGAATGATGGACATTGTATAGCCTGTGTTCTGTTTGTTCCTCAGGTGTGGTCATAGACTTGATGCACCTCACAAAGCCTGGAGGGTTCGACGTTTCCCTGTTCTTCTGTGATATTGTAAGCCCTCCAGAGGATGAAAGCGAGCTTGGTGTCCAGACTGAGCCCTCCAGAAAACTCGAGGACTTGCAGAAGAGGGTCAGAGCTAAAGAGTTGAAGAAAAGAGCTCAAAGCAGGTAAATGCACTGCACCGTGTATACAATATAGATCACACAACATAGTTATTTTAGTTTTAAATAAGATTTTTATGATATCAACATTTTTGATGCCATTAAAATTTCATAATTCTTATCATTTTCAATATCATTAAAAAAACTAATACTAGCCTAGAAAAAACTCTCAAGCTTAGCTTACCGCATGTAAACCGTGACAAAAAAAGAGCAAAGAAAAAAACTACAATAGAACAAAGACAAATGAAATAGACCTACCTGAAAAACTTCAAGCACAAGAAATAATACTACATAAGATCTATAAAGTAATCACATGTATAAAAAAACATACATAGTCTTTACTGTGTAAATTAAATATACTTTTATTCTTATTAAAGTTACAAAAATGATTCAGTCAAGAGTAGTGAGAGATTTTCTCTCTTTTTTTTTGTTGATTAGCATAATAATGTTTCAAACTTCAAATTTCAAAATATAAGCTTTCGTGACTGTGTAGCACAGTAACGTCACGTGAACGTAACTGCGATAGAGGTGATAGACAAATTTCTACCAGTAAATTGCATCTACAGGTATATCGCCCACCCCTAGTCGCGGGAGGCTGGAGCTTTTGCATGCCAATGCAGATGAAAAATGTGTATAGCAGCTAATATTTTTCTGTAGTGTTAGTGTTTGTGAAAGGATTTTAATGCAGTTTGCTTCAGGCATGTCAAAGATCAATCTATATTTGGCATGAAATGGAAATTGCAATTCGAATTGCAAATTGTTCCCTACTGTGACATATATCTAAATAAAAAGGCTTGTCAAACGAGAAAAAAATGTATGGTGGGATTTGATTTTGTACATTGAGAATTGATTGGATCGTTGGAATAGTTGTCATTTTCTAATTGCTGTGATGATTAAATGATTAAAAATAATTGATCATAAACACTGTATTATTCCAGAAAAAATAAAATAGATTTCATGGTGGGAAAAAAAATGCAGCATTGTTTCTTGGACAAAAATGCCTCCAGAGTGCATGTCTTTGATTTACACCTATTTGTTTTCAAGGTTAACATTCTCGCTCGGAGAAGGTGTCAATCTGGCAGTCGGTTTATATGTGTTGGCCAGGACTGCCACCAAACCTCCTGCCGTCAGACTTTACAGAGATAACAACGAACCTGTGCGCACTAAAACCCGCTACTTTCACACCCATAATGGGGGCATACTTTTGCCAAATGATATGAAGAGGGCACAGGTACAGCACTAGATGTCACTTCGAATCAGAATCAGTACTATAACAAATCTACACTATAATTTAGGTTTTATTTGCTGTAGGTGACCCTTTACTTAAAAGTTACTATATTTTCTAATCATACTACACTGAACAAAATTATAAACGCAACACTTTTGTTTTTGTCCCCATTTTTCATGAGCTGAACTCAAAGATCTAAGACATCTATGTACATAAAAGGCCTATTTCTCTCAAATATTGTTCACAAATCTGTCTAAATTTGTGTTCGTGAGCACTCCTCCTTTGCCGAGATAATCCATCCACCTCACAGGTGTGGCATATCAAGATGCTGATTAGACAGCATGATTATTGCACAGGTGTGCCTTAGGCTGGCCACAATGAAAGGCCACTCTAAAATGTGCAGTTTTATCACACAGCACAATGCCACAGATGTCGCAAGTTTTGATGGTGCGTGCAATTGGCATGCTGACTGCAGGAATGTCCACCAGAGCTGTTGCCCGAGAATTGAATGTTCATTTCTCTACCATAAGCCGTCTCCAAAGGAAGAGAATTTGGCAGTACATCCAACCGGCCTCACAACCACAGACCACGTGTAACCACACCAGCCCAGGACCTCCACATCCAGCATCTTCACCTCCAAGATCGTCTGAGACCAGCCACCCGGACAACTGCTGCAACAATCGGTTTGCATAACCAAAGAATTTCTGCACAAACTGTCAGAAACCGTCTCAGGGAAGCTCATCTGCATGCTCGTCGTCCTCATCGGGGTCTCGACCTGACTGCAGTTCGTCGTCGTAACCGACTTGAGTGGGCAAATGCTCACATTCGATGGTGTCTGGCATTTTGGAGAGGTGTTCTCTTCACGGATGACTCCCAGTTTTCACTGTACAGGGCAGATGGTGAGCGGTTTGCTGATGTCAACGTTGTGGATCGAGTGGCCCATGGTGGCGGTGGGGTTATGGTATGGGCAGGCGTATGTTATGGACACCGAACACAGGTGCATTTTATTGAGATACCGTGACGAGATCCTGAGGCCCATTGTTGTGCCATTCATCCACGACCATCACCTCATGTTGCAGCATGATAATGCGTGGCCCCATGTTGCAAGGATCTGTACACAGTTCCTGGAAGCTGAAAACATCCCAGTTCTTGCATGGCCAGCATACTTACCGGACATGTCACCCATTGAGCATGTTTGGGATGCTCTGGATCGGCGTATACGACGGCGTGTTCCAGGTCTTGCCAATATCCAGCAACTTTGCACAGCCATTGAAGAGGAGTGGACCAACATTCCACAGGCCACAATTAGGGCTGGGCGGTATATCGAGTTTGTACGATATATCGATAGATTTTTTTGAAAAGATATGGAATGAGGCAATACCGTTTATATCGACACAGTAGTTTGATACGAGCACATCTGAAAAGTAGAAATAACTGGTGAGATATAGTTATCAAGTTTAAAGC